TTTTAAATTGATGTACTTTTAAAATAATATAAAAAAAAAAATTCTTATCGAATTTTTTCCAGTGATAAGAAAAATATCAAATTTTTACTTCATAATAGATAATTCTCTGAAATATACTTAATTTGGAAATCATTAAAAACGAATTTGATACTTGCTCATATTTGATTAATATAAATGACTACTTTTAAATTGTATTAACGAACAATAAGCATAACCAACAAATATATGTTATACATATACATATTTATAAATACCTATGATACACTCTATAAGAGAAGAATGGTATTATTAACAAATATTAAGAATCAATTACTAAAAATAAAATCAATACTAAGTCATGACTTTAACTTGTTAGTTTCTAAATAGTTTTTTTTTTTATGCAATTTTTTGTCTACATAAAAATGAAATGTTACATTGAAAATTTAATTAAAAATATCTTTGTAAGCTCTAATGCCATGGTGTACTTTTGAGCTACTAAAAGAGCTACTTTGGTGTACCTTGAGTACTTTTGTGTGGTTAAGGAAATTAGCGCAATATGTATATATTATATCTGTTTAGTAAAAATTTTAAAAAGGTTATCATTCTTTCTTGTTGTTTTGGTCATTCATATGTGTAAAGTAAGAACAGACCACACGTGCTGAAAGTAAGTCCAAACTCGTAGCTTCAGAATTTTTTGTCGTTCTCTTCAGGCTTCGCATAGGAGAGCTTGAAATCGAGTTTTTAGAATATATATTGAGTCAAGATGTCGAATAAAATTGCTTTCAGCTTACTGTGAATAAAGAAAGCGAGGGGTTGGCACGGAATAAGAGAAAAGTAAAAAAAAATGAAAGGATGATTTTCTAGGAGACCGATGTTTGGCATTTAGCTGGCGCAGGGGAGAGCTCAAGATCTTAAGATCAACGCAAACAGCCAAAGCTGCTGCACATTTCTTTTATGTCTATAGCATTGCTAATTAACTGAAGTGCTTGAAGTACGTACTCAGATCAAAAGTAGGGTAACGTCTTGTAGCAATCGGTCTCTTTTAAAAAAAAATGTCGATTGTCCCGAAAAACAATCATTACCTCCACGTTTCTCTAGCAGTATTCGTAATTATGAAGATAATTTTTATTCACTTAGTTTTATATTGTATCAGATATGTAATAACGTGATTTTAATTTTTATTAACTACTCATACCTATAAGTATGCTAAGTAAAAAAGTACGTCAAAAATTACCTTAAAACATCATAATTTTACTAATTTTTTAAGCGTTTATTTTCATTCTTATATTTAGTTGATTGGTAAATAAAATCAAATTACTCAATAGTATTTTTAATAACTTAAGGAATTCAAAAATTTTCAACACAGATCCAAGAATTTTAAAACCCCAGACAATTTTCAAAAAATTAATAAAATACACAAGCTCTAAAGATTTTAAA